GGGAGCAGATGTTAATTCTGTATCTGATACACGGGTCACACCATTGCATAAATCTGCTTACGCTGGGCATGTAGAAATTGTCTCATTATTGATTTCTAATGGGGCAATCGTAAATGCTAAGGATTCAGCTGACAACATTCCACTTCATTTTGCTGCTTTGAATGGACAGTCATCGACTGCTGAAATTTTGCTAAAACATGGTGCCGATTTCAATGCTTTTAACAAAGAAAAACTTTCACCTTTGCAACGAGCCATTTTGAATGGACATTTAAATGTATTAAAATCTTTTATTGAACACGGAGCAAGTACTGAAGATCTTGAAAGACGGGGTTTCCCCGTATTTAAATATGCAATCCGTCATAATAACTTAGAACTCATAAATATTTTAATTGAAAATGGGATGTCTATTAACATAAGGGATCCTGATGGCTGTACTCCTCTTCATNTGTACTCCTCTTCATGAAAGCATAAAAAATGGTTCGATAGATATTTCTCTGAGATTGATTGAATGTGGAGCCGATATTAATTCAGCAGATAAATTCAATCTTACTCCTTTGAGCCTTTCTATCAAACTTGGTTATTTTGAAATAGCAGATAAACTGTTATCCGAACAGGCAAATATTCATTCTGTAGATTATAAAGGACAAACTTTATTGCATATGTGTGTTTTAAATTTTAAAATTATGGATTCTATGGGTGAGGAATATTTTACAGAGACCTACAATGACTTAGTCTCTAATCTAAGTAGGTTTGACATTTTTAAAAAGCTGGTAGAAAGAGGAATTAGTATTGAAAGGGAAAATATCTTTGGCAGAACTCCTTTGCACTTAGCTTGCATCTCAGGCTATGATGACATCGTTCGATATTTAATCCCTAAATTAGTTGACATTAATGTGTCCGACAAAATGGGATATACACCCTTACATCATGCTGTCAAAAATAATAATCTGAAAGTTATAGATATGCTATTAGCCAGTAAAGAATGTCGTTTGGACTTCAGAACGTTTAAAAACGAAACAGCTCTATGCTTAGCTGCAACCAACAACTACACTGAATCAACGCGACTGTTGATCAAATATGGAGCTGATGTGAATGATGGGGATCCACTTCATGAAGCTCTTATGCGGGGATATCAGGATATGTGTATAATTCTTCTAGAAAAAAAATCAACCAATATCGAAAAGCAGTTTAAAGATAAATCTAAAACGCTTCTTTGGTACGCCGTG